TTATCAAACTCCCAAGCACTACCTTGACGACAAAATGTGTGACGGTTTTCTTTAGCCAGCCTTGTTTAAGTCGGTGTCTTTATGTGTATCTCTGCCTTCAGCGTCGTCCTCTCGAATGACGCATTCAAAGGCAGCATACCATTGGGTTTTAAGGAAGTAGTCATTACAAGACAAAGTTAAGAAAATGCGAGACAGGTGAAATGTGTGATGTCAGAGGTCATATTTGCTACAACTTTTAGTTATACCGCGAAAGCTACGAGGACAAATCTTACATAGTCCTATAGGCTAACTGAGTATCATCCAGGGAGTACCAAGCATCAGATTTACCAGTGTCAGCCCCTCTGACTAAAAACGATAATTCCTCATTTTGGAATATGCTAGGGCTTGGTGAATTACCTGTCTCGCATTTTGAATACTTTACACTTCCGTAACAATTCGAAGAATCTCTTCCATTTATATGCAAAATAGATTCCTATATCATTAAGTGGAACAGTCAGAGGTTAGAGCCAGAAGAGAAAGTAGTCTAGATTTGAAACACCTTTTCTTCATCAGGCAGTGGAAGAGCGTTTAGCAGGGGCAGCCAAATTTTTTCTTTTGCCTATACTAACTCTCAAATTTTTCAGTCTCATTCAAACATTTAGAACGTTGGAATCATCTTGACTGCCATCACAGCCGTGTTCAACTCTGCAAACAGGGAAGGTTTGTTGCGACTTTTAGTCTCATCTGCCTGGCAAACCAGTTTGAACAGTTTGAAAGTCATCAACAGCCTTGTTTAACGCAATGAGTTTTGGAAGTTGATTTGTTGTCATCTATATAGGTGAAAGAGGTTTTAAGATAGAATTATGAGGGGGAGTCAGGCATACCTAACTGCTCTTTCTAACCGTGTGCATGTCCAAACTGCTGCTTATTTCAGGATGTGAAATGAGGCATTTAGCACGTGCATTAGGTGGAGAGGAATTGCAACGATGAAGCCGAGGAGGACGAAAAAGATAAGGAAGAATTTAAGGAAGACTATCTTTCCAATATTGCAGGATTGCAGTCATCCAAGGAATGCTTTTGTTTAACCGGTGACTTTGGGCATTCAGCAGCTCTTTAAATAGTTTAAGGGTGAAACCGCTGAATATCATAAGCTGTCTGTCAGGCGAAAGCCCAACCCTCATCCTTGTGATTCATAGCAAGCAGAAAGCATCAGGCTTAACTTAATAATGGGTCAGATGCTCTACACTTCTAAAAGCAATGTAGCGACCTCATGGATGCCAAATTGTATAGAATTTAGAGAGCCAAGAAAAAATGAGGTGTACAAACATGGCAACTTTGAAATAAAGTGCAGAAATTAGAGTAGTATTCATAAATCATTTACAGGTTTGTCAAGGCATCGACCTTACCATTTCAATAGCTTGCGGTGAAACACGAATTTTTATCCGAAAACTAAGCAACGCATTAGCGTTTGACTGACAGCGAAGGGAATTGAGAAATACCCTTAAATTAACCAATGATTCAGGCCTGGGCGTCATACAATTTCTGCCCTGACTTTAGTCTTGCATGACGGAAAGTAATCTGCCATTATGGCGTAAGTTGTGTCAAAACCTGGGGCAGAGTTTGCAGAATACAATGTGAACAAATGACAATTGCGAGGGTTCAGATTCTGCGATCAGAATATTTTTCCGGTTGCAAATCAGTAAAAATGATAGTTGTCGTGACAGAAACCATTCTTTCATACTATCGCAGCTGTTTTTTCCAATAACTCAGGTCAAATAAGCACTTGTTTACAGTTTTGAGGTTTGTGATTCACGCCATTTAAAAAGGTCAGATAAGTCGCAATGACATTTTCCCTTAAAATGCGTTAAATTTCCTTCTCATAGTACTATTGCTATGACCCTCATCTACTTTGCCCCTCTCCTCCACTTTTGCACTGTAGATACACGACACTATTCTTCTGGGTAGCAAAAACGCTTCTCGAATCAAACAGGGGAACTGTAAACCTATGGAGGAATCAATTATCAAATTATAAGGCGCGACTTTTAAAAGGGATGAGTTGGGATAAGTT